AAAAAAAAAAAAAAAAAAAAAAAAAGTATAAGAAGACTCTTGAGAGCCAGTCCGATTACTGAAAAAGATAAATTTAACTAGAAGAAAAGAAGCAGAAAACATAAATATAATCAAAAGAATTCTGGCAATTTCCCTTTGTTGAGAGATAAAATAGAATTTCTTGTTAGGAAAAAATTAGATTTAGTTTGTTGCTATAAAAAGGAAAATAGCTTAGTAAAAGAAAATTGGTAATTAGATATAGTTAAAAATTCTTTCGTTTTGAAACTATCTTATTTTGGTTTCACTGGCTAGTTTGGTGCAGCTCTTCGGTATAGGCAATTGCCTTAACGGTAAGGCATACCGTACTTGGGTACCCTTAGAGAAGCCGAGTAATGTCGAATCTGTAGTTTAGATAGTATAGGATATAAATATTCTGTTTTGATCTAATAAAGATACTGGCGAGGCTGCCAATACATTAAAAAAAAAAAATACAAAACTATTTCTATCTTAGCATCTAGTAATTAGATTTTTATAATTTTGGATTTGTTAGAATTTTTTTAATGAAAAAATCATTTTGGTAGTTAAATTATCCAAATTGGTTTAGTAGATCAAAAGTTATTCAATATTAAATATTATATATAATTTTAATTATATATTTTAATAAATGTAAAATCTGATTGGCTAGCAGATGAGAGGGTAGAGGTAGGTTTGAAAGGACTCCAGATAATTTTAAGATAGGTGGGAGGTAAAAAAGGTAGATTTTTTGAGCCAAACATGTCTAAATTCTGGTCAAAATTAAAATTTAATTTTAATTTTAACCAGAATTTAGATATATTCAGCTCAAAAAATCTACTCTTTTTTATCTCCCACCTACTTTAAAATTATCTGGAGTCCTGGTTTGAACAATTTATTAGTAAATTCTAATCAACTGATTTCTGGAAGCCCTTTAGTACAAAAAAACTTTTAGATATAGGATAACTAATAAATTATTAATTAATCATTGATTGGCTAAAGATCATATAATATTAATATGATATTTTTTTATAGTTACACCTCTATACAATCACCATATTAAAGCATGACAAACTTAGTGATTATATAGAGGTCTGACTATATATTGGATATCTAATCTAAAGGTAAATATTTAAATTAGATATCCAATCCAAGATATACAAATATTTAATTTTAAAAGATGGCTAAAGCTCAGTATGATTATATATTTGTTAAAGATTAAGATTAATAGATGATTCACCAGTCATCTGGAGAGCTATGTAATGCAAGTTATACAAGATTTATATATAAATTATATATAAAATCTTCAAATAGTAAATATGAAGATATTTTAAAGAAATGTAAAAAAAACTTTTTTTCTTACTAAATAAAAGACTCTTGGGCTTCTAATAAAAGTTGTAGAGCTCATCAAAATGCATTTAATGTTAATGAGAATGCTAAAATTGGCCTAGTGGTTCTTTAAAAATATTTCACTGACATATAAAATTTCTTTAAAAAAAATCATTTTTTTTTAAAGAAATTTTATATATCAGTGAAATGTTTTTAGCGTTTTTACCACCATTAAATGTGTCTTGATGAGCTCTACAACTTTTGTTAGAAGCCTAAGAGTGATTTATTTAGTAAATAAAAAGTTTTAGAAGAAATCTCTCCACATCTGGCTTAATAGTAAAATTTATTTATAAAATTTGCAGATCCTTTCCAGATGATAGATGAATTGTCTATTAAAGCAATATTTATATATAAAATTGTCTTTCTAATATTTTTTATTAGTGTTTTGAGGTATGTTTAAATATTTATTTCTTGTATTTTTTTGTATTTTTTTGTATTTTTTATATTTTTTTTGTTTTTGCTAATCTGAATAAATCAAAATTTTACAATTTGATTAGTTGTAAGTTATATAAACACATTTGGCCTCAATTTGTCTTTAACTATATAAAAAGATAAAAATATCTTTGAAGTAAACTCATAATTTTTTAAAACCTTAAAGAATTTATCTGCAATATTATTTTTATCATATTTTTTGCTTATTAAACCAAAATTAATTATAGTTTTTCTAAAAGACTAATTTTTGTCAAAATAATATACTATAGCAAAAATAAAGAACTTATTATTAAAAAATGTCTAAAGATCTGATATATAAGAAATTTTAAAATTAAAAGTAGCAAAGTAGGTCTAGAAAATTAAAAATATCTTAAGAAAAAAATTATTTATTCCTAGTAATTTTAATCAATTAATTTTAAGATTAATTGGTAATTCGCCAGTCAGCCAGAGAGAGATTATAGTATAATGTGATGCAGTTTAGAGGGTATCCATAAATAACATTATGTACCCTACATAGTAACTCTTGACCCCCTCTAGACTATATATATATAAAAAAAATTTAAAAATCTGGATGTTTATATATAAATTTTTACAAAATCTTGATTATCTTGTGATCCAGTAATCCAAATTAGATAAATTTGGTACCATTAGATTCATCTCAATAAGAAAAATCTAATAGTATCAAAATTATTCAATTTGGATCACTAGATCAAAAGATATAAGCAAAAAACTGTTAATTCTATAGTAATTTCATATAAAATAATATAACTAATAGTTTTTTGTTAATATCTTTTAATCCAGTAATCCAAATTGAATAATTTTGATACTATTGGATTCCTCTCACTGAGACGAATCCAATGGTACCAAATTCATCCAATTTGGACTACTGGGTCATGAAATATTAATATTTTTATAAAAAAATTAGGTTATTTTTCTTTGACCTTTTCTAACTTAGCAAAAAATGTAAAAAAAATAGTATTTTTGTGAAACCCCCTTCCCCCTCTTGTATAATGTTATTTATAGATAACCTCTTATATATAAAAATTAGTGTTTTGCAAATATAGACTGCATCATTCTAAAACTTTTTTTTATACTAAATTAATTACTTTTGGGTTTCTAATTGAAGTTGTAGAGCTCGTTGAGAGAAATCTAATAGTAGTTAAATTGTTAAAATCAGCCTTATAGATCATGAAATATCTTTGAAAAACATTTTACTAACTATGTAAAATTCTCCTTTAATATTGAAAGAAAATTTTACATAGTCAGCAAAACATTTTTTGAAGATATCTCATAATCTAAAAGGCTGATTTTGATGATTCAACTACTATTAGATTTCTCTTAATGAGCTCTACAACTTCAATTAGAAACCTAAAGGTAGTTAATTTAGTATAAAAAAAAGTTTTAGAATGATGCAGCCTATATTCGCAAAACCTTAATTTTTATATATAAACCATGTCATGTTATACTAGCATGATGGAAATTGGTTTTTATTGGCTATCAATTTTGATCATCAGATCGAATATGATTGGTTAATAAATCATAGATCCTTATAAAATTCCTATATATTAGCGTTAGTAATATAGCAACTTTTAAAGTAATTTATGTAACAACTAATTTTTTTTTTTACTAGTATGTCTTTGTGCCCTAACGGGTCTTTTAAAACTTTCGGATCAAGTAGGATCAAGTATTTAAAGATAGCTGGCTTATACGTAAAAGTTGACAAAGGTATAAATACTGTAGTGGTTACTTTAACTTCTACAACTTAGAAGATAAGAAAGCTAGTAAGACACATTTATATGATGCTTTATTACCATTTATCTATATCTTCTAATGCATTTTGTAATTTCAATACGTCTCTATCTCTCTTTTGAATAAACTCATGTTTTTCTGTGTCTTCTTCTGTCTCTTCGGAATTCTGTGATTCTTCTTCAATTCTGTTCTCCTCTGTAATATAATTTGCACCTTTTTCAAGTCTTTTCAAAAATAAATTAACATTTTTGTATATACCATTCTTATAGTACTGTTCACAATGCCAGCAACTATATTCCATCTTTTCATAGCAGTACTAGTGAAAACTATGATCACAAATCAAGACAGTACCATCATTCTTTTCGCTCAATGAATCAAAGCAGTCATCACAAAGTCCTTGTGAAGGAGGAATGCTTGTACTATAACCTGTAGGTAAGGACATAATATCGACTTCTTCGTTTAAGATAGCAAGCTTGTATTTTAAAACTTCTTTTTTCTTTTTTTCTTGTTTTTTTTATGATTTACCTGTTATACTACCAACCATCTTAATATGGTGGAACACTTGGCGAAAATAATCCAACAAAAATAATGATATTTTATTCGCCAAATATTCTAAATTAGAGGGCGTATATGGATACCTTTTTTTTGTGTGAAATATTTTTTTAAATGGCGATTCTTTATTCGCATCTATTTTTTTTTTTAAAAAAAAAAAAAAATTAGCTGGATCGATTAAATTATTTTGACTAAAAATTTTTTTTCTTTTTTTTAATACCTAAAACACAAGCCTGTTTAATAATAGTATCGGGACTATCACAGGAAGATGTATTTGCCCGTATTTTGCTATAGAAATTTTTAACGAAATAATCGTTGAAATTTACCAAAAACATTTTAATTACATCTAATATTGGGTGTTCTTTTTCTTGCCAATAAAAAATATCTGACAAGAACACCAAAGGTGCCTTATTGTAGTTTTTACAGTTCCAATGAAGAGCGAAAGTCCATATTCGGAAAACCATTTTAATGTATTCGTCGAAAGAGCCTGAACGAAAGAAAACCATATATATATCCAAAGTAGCAAAAATGATATTATCAAGGAGATCAACTAATATTCTATATTCCACGTCCTTACACATAGCTCCAAATTTAGCTAATATTTTTGATTTTATCGTTATCCATCCCTGGTAAGCAAGTTCGAGGAGAAGATTTATTCTCTATGGTTTTGGTTTTTTTGCAAGAGTTTTATGCTTTCCAAAAACTGCTTGAAAAAGCATTTTAAAAAAAGAATAATATATTTTTAAAACTTGCTTCCGGCTGTTTAATAAAACATTAAGTGAGCCTAATATAGGTATGAAGGCATTTATAGAGGCTAGTATTTTGGTATTTTGGTAATGCAAATTAGTTAATGCCTTCTGTATAAAAAGTTACTCAGGCCAGTCAGCAACGATAGGCATTACGTAATTATTTGTAAGCCCAGCATTTTCATTTACTAAGAGAATCATTTTCAAAACATTTAAATAATCATCTAGGGAATGAAGTTGACTCTCCTTAATCTCAACTAATCGAACTTCTTCCATAGTTCTTTCTGCTTCTTTTTCTTTTATAGCATCGTCATAGCAATAGACAGTTAAAAGATCAATTTTATCAAAATTAATGAGCCCAATTTCTTGTGAAGCGGTCTACTGATTTTTTCTTTGTAAATAGGAAAGATCAAAAATTCCATGATACTGCGTAATTAAGTGCAAACAAATTAAGGGCGCATCAATATTGGTAGGATTATGGACCGAATTATTGTTATAAATTATTGAAATTGGTGCATATCTTGTAATTTTCTTACTGACGCATGTTGAAAAATGAATAGAAGCAGAAAGAACTACAGTGTCAGAACGTCTTATTCCATGTATGTTGTGATAATTGTCGATATTATATACGAAAAAACTGTTAAACTAATATTAACAAATGTTAAAATTTAGAAGAATTATATATTATAGCCAGAGGTATAAGCGCAATATCATAACTTGTAATGATAATAAGTTATGGCATTTTTTTTGTAACTCATTATCTTTACAAGTTACGGTATTGTGTTCACACCTTAACTGTGATTACAGAATTTTAAACTAATTGGGTGAATTCGAATTTTATTATTTATTATTTTTATTTTTTATTATTTTTTTATTTTATTTTATTTTATTTTATTTATAATACTTACTTTTTCAGCAAAATATTTTCGAATATTTTCTAGATGCACAGCTACAGCTTTTTTTTTGTAATTATCGATGGTCTTATAACAAACAGTAATACCTGCATTATGTATTGCATTAATTGCATCACAAAAAGCACCCGATACCACTAAATATAATCCGATTTCCAAAGAATAGTTATTTACAAGTCTATTACGTATTGCCGCAATTGAGTAACATATATTGACCACTTTTTTTTTATCTTCTTTTCTATTGTAAGCTGACCGTCTTGCTAGAATAAATGCATTGTAAAGCTTATCAAAGAATCCTACCAATTGTGGTTCAGCATCCCCAAGCATTGTCTGAAAACGATCTGGGTTTAATTCTAGTGTATTATTTTCTTTTCTTTGTTTTTTGTATAACACTCTAGTCATTAAAGTAATTTTTTTCCCAAATGATAATAGTTTTCTAATGATTATGTGATCTTGCCTATTATTATTAGTTGATGACTCATTATAGCAGTCGGGTTCAACAATTTCAAGGTAATAAGGATAGCACAGTTGTTTTCCAACTTCTAAATAGTTATACCTATTAAAAGTTTCTTTTTCTTTTGCTTTTCTTAGAGCATATTCTGTGATTCTGTGATATTGATTTGGTCTAATCTGGCAATTACAAACAAAACAAGAGCCAAGATTTTTTTTAGTCATTTGTAAAAAATTTTTTTTAAAAAAAATATTTTTTAAATTTTAAAATTTTAATACTTTGAAAAAACACGTTTATTTTACTAAAAATAAATTTTTTTTTATTACATGTTATTACTTAAAATAATTTATGTGCTACTCTAATTAATACTACAAAATGCGTTACCCCTAAAATATTTTAACTAGGTACACAAAGAGCCGCCTGGTAATATTCAATTGATTTATAAAAAATATGATACATTTGTGCAATTTATATATAAAATATTTTTCTATATTGGACTAGTTTTTAAAATTGAGTAATTTTCCATTCGATAACATGATTTCAAATTTTTATTTTTCATTTGTAAATCATTTTAGTTGATACATTTTCTTGAAGTGAGATGAAGTTTTCTGATTTAAAAACTTTATTTAAGTGCTTTACCACATATCATTACTACCATTTTGTGATTCTTAAAGCTTATTATTCTGATACATAGCTTTTCTAATAAACTGTAAATGAAGCCAATGTGCTTTCGTTCATTTAAAGACGCTTAGCTAATTTTTCAAAAGAATTTAATAAGTAATAATTATAAGCTCAAAAATAAATAATTTACTATGATTTCGAGTAAGACTACAAATATATAAAATTATATATTTTATATTCAGATTGTTTGCAATATGCTATAGTAAATTATATACTATATTAATCATATGATAACGATTTGGCATTTTATTGGTCAATTTATCATATGGCATAATTTTGGGTTTGGTGTAACGTCTACATATAGATCACAAATATTGGCCAATTAAAACTAATTTCCATCATGCTATGTTACACTATGATCTCTTTCTGATTGATTGGTGAATTACCAATTAAGTATCAAAACAAATATATTTTGTTTTTTAAGTAAAAAAGTTATATATAAAATAAAAACTAAAAAAATTATATTATAATTAAAATTAAAATTAGAACAATATAATGCTTATTAGTAAACATTATGAAAAACATTTTTATTTAGGCTGCAAAAGGTAGTTTTTTAATTAAAATTTAGTTATATTTGTTTTTGTATAAAATAATAGAGTTATTTCAATTTTTATATTATATCTGATTCTGAAATTCAATTAGTCAAAGTTATAGAGAGTAAACAATTTTTTGTGAGAGAGCTAAAGATGTTTAAAAAAATAAACAAATAATTTAATTGGTGATTTGCCACTCAATATAAGAGTGCTTATAGTATAACATAACACAGTTTATATATAGAAATTAGAGTTTTTTGAATGTGACATGCTTCTATCTAAAACTTTTTTATACTAAGTTAATCACCTTTGGGCCTCTAATTGAAGTTGTAGAGCTTATTGAGATGAATCTAATGGTAGTTGAATTATCAAAATCAGCTTGGTAGATCATGATATATCTTTGAAAAATGTTTTGCTAACTATGTAAACTTCTTTTTCAACAATACTAATGTTATACTATGAGCACTCTCTGGTTGAGTAGCAAATCACCAATTAATATATAAAAATTAGTATTTGAAATTAGTATTTATAAGAACACTGTTATGAATTTGTACACAGTACAAATTATTAAGGGTAGAGTATTTGTTTACCATTTGTTTGTACATAGCATGAAAATAAACCAATCAAAATTTAATGATCTGCAAAATTAACCAATTATAATTGTATATTTAGTTGTATATGCATATTTATTTGCGCATTGCATAAAAAAAACATGTAAACAAATACTCTACCCTTAAAAATTTTTAGTGAATAATAGAAATATAAAAATTCTTATCTATAATATATAAATTGGAACTATCTAAAATTTTTCTATTTAGTAAACTATTTAATTATATTAATTTCAGTACTTAGTTTTAACCTATACTAATATAATATTTGTCAAAATTACAGAATAGTTTTATATAGTTAAACAATTTTAATTCTTACTATAATATGTATTTTCTAATAAGTTTTTTTGTAAACATAAAATAATACTTTTAGACCATCTATAGCAATTATATTGTTCTTATATGAACAATATTTAAGCTATAAATTTTGAATACTAATAAAAATATAATAATCATAAAACTTGCTTTTAATTCCTTTTTTCCAGAGTTATAAAGTAATATAATTATATTATTTATTAAATTTTAAATATTATATAATTTTGATTAGCTCAGAGTCTTCAATTATAGTAAATAGGTACTGACAATTGATAATTTTAATAGCGAACATATTGCAAAGTTTTATATCATTAGCATTAGTCAGTATTGTAATAGAAGAGTTTTTAAAATTTTAAGATAAGATTTCAAGTTAGATTAGCCTAAAAATTACAAAAAAATATATAAATAACTTACTTTTTAAATATTTTTATAATTTTGCTACTTTATTTTGTATTTTTTTCTTATATTCTTCTGTTGTAATGTATTGGATCCAATATGCATTTTCTAATTAACACCATATCAGGGAATGGCTAAAGCCATATACCCACATGATTTTAATGTTTTAATCATTTAAATTAAAATTAAAGTTAGGATTAGAGTTAGTTAGGTGTGAATATAAGAAGAGAAATATAAGTAAAATTGCCTTTTCGATATTTTTAATTAGTGTTCCAAGATAGGTTAAAACTGTTGTTTTTCATCTTTTTGTGTTTTTTTCATTTTTGACTTCTTCAGACTAATCTGTGTAAACAAAATTTCACAATTCCGGTTGGTTGATTTACACAAAAAAGTCACGTGGATATATGGTTTTAGATGACCCCATATCAGCAAATTTATAATAGCATAATCTTATGTAAGGTCTTATAAACTGTAATATAAGCAAAATATTTCATAATATATTTTAAAATATTTTAAAATATCAAATTTTCGAAATATTTCAAAAGTAATTTCAAAATATTTTAAACCTATTCAAAATATTTTAAAACTAAGAAACCAAGCTGAATTAATAAATCTGTAACCTAAATCGCACATTAGACTGATTTTTTAAAAAGTTTGAAATAGTTCAAAATAGTTCAATAATGTTCAAATTCTGTATTACAAGATCAGATTAGATCTTTTGTTTATAATTAGATCTTCTATTTTTTTTGCTTTTTTGTTTTTATTTTGTTTTTTATTTTCATTTTATTTTTTGTTTTTGTTTCATTTTTTTAATTTTTTATTTATTTATTTATTTTTTTATTTTTTTTTATTTTATTTTCTTTTTTGCACTTTATAAGAACACTTTTGCAAGAAAACAAATAACTTTTAAAACCTTGCATATGCTAACTTAGACAATAGACACTTTCAAGAATACACAACTAATTTCTTCAGCAATTTTTAAATTTCTAGAAATACTTCTTTAGAGAAATAGATACAAGTTTTTACAAGTTTTTGCAAGTTTTTGCAAGTTTTTACAAGTTT